CCTGATAAATCACAGATTTTTTGGAACTTTTGTTGAAAGTTTTAGGCTTTAAAAAACAAAAAGTAAAAACCAATTTTCAGATTTCGGTTTTCAAAGGAATCAGTGGGACTTATTTGTTGCTAATTCGCTCCAAACATTGATATTTCTAGTTCATGATGAGTCGACATACAAATCGGGGGAGACATTAAACCGTTCGAAAGCTAACCTAGATTCTTGAAGAAAGTTTTGCACGTTCTCCAATCGATGCCCATACTTCGGAGACTCATGAAATGCAGTTTTTGCCTCATACGTTTGGATCTCAAGCGGTGGGGAGCCAGATTTTCCGACAATGGCCAACGTCCCTACTTTGAAGGCCATGAACGCCCCGATGTTAAACAACATCGTGAAGAATTTATCAGCCACTTTTTGTCGAATGGGGGCTTAAGCTGTTTTCTTTTAGGTGACGAACGATAATGAAAAGTGGAAGCAAATATACCTTTTACTTTTTTCTCATGAGAGAATGAAGATAAGACGGTGTAAAAAAATGAAAGGAAGTTAGTAAAGAAGTTGCACTTTTATGAAAAGAGGTTTTCTAATAAGCGAATTTCAGCCTCCGATAGTTTTAGTATTTATTCACTTTCTAACATATGTACGTGCTATGTTGGCTTAGTAATACCTAAACTAAGAGTCTTCTACAAAAAGCTTGCAGCTTCTGGTGTAAAGGATCGAATTTCTATTAATTGAGAATTGCTCAACGCCATTGCGTCTTTTCGCGATAACATTCCAAGCCTGAATTCTAGCTAATATTCGGAAATAGGCCTTTTTCAGCAGCTGGCTTACCGCGGACTAATAAGGAATATTTCCAACAAATCTATTCACTTTCTCCAAAGTCTCTTGGATTCTTCTGCATTGTAGGTGGAAATATTCTTCTTTCTTTCAAAATGCTTATAAAGAACCTCGAGATTTTTCAAAATAGCCAAAATTCCTCTATTTTTTTGGAGGTGTTGTTCCTGAAGTTAAAATTTTTTATAAAATTCTTGCGTATTTTCTTGCTGAAAAGCTCTTCTAAAATACAGTCTTGAAACCCTACAGAGGTAGTTAGATAATCGATTTGTCTTAGATTAAACAATAAAAGAAAGAAATCTGTCAAACCCTTAAAGCAAATGTAGAAAAGTATAGACTTGTCTTATGTAAGAATCAAACAAGCCAGAGAAAAAGAAAATGTTTAACAAGTAAGTTATTTTGATAAAAACCGATGCACAGAATCCTAGTTTTTTCCTTTCTTCCCGTGTAACAATTGTGGAATCGTTAATCATTAAACACAAATGTTAATTGCCAATCGGTAAACCAAGCGGCACAACTATTACCCACGACATCACACATCTCAAACTCGTACTCATGTAGTTTGGTTTGCTGACATGATACTTTATAACCCCCATATGCAGTTTTCAAATAATCAATTATTTCACTTTGCTTGACAGTTGTTCGATTGTGAAATTTGGCATGAAAGTGTCCAGAGAAGCTCTGGCTGTTATATTTAATATCAATAGTTTTGAATTTGGATGGGACATGATTTCTGAAGCAGGCGTATTCTGGTGGATTATATACCACTTGCAGGTGGCGGTGACTCCATGATTCATGATATTCGAGCACAATAGGACCAAACTGCTTTTCTGGCCAAGTAATTTTCATTTCCAAACTGGCGGGCTGTTTCTGTAGCGAGGTTAAAAAAGTCAAGACCTCAGCTCCAGTTTTAACATAGGAGGATACTGTTGCGACTACGGCTGCTGCTGCAGCAAGTGATTCCATTTTTTAAAGATGAAGTTGCGTTCGAAACAAAATGTGAAGTATAAATCTTTACTTTTCTTTTTCCCTTTATGTGCAAGTGAAGTGAAAAGTCCCTACGAAAAAACGCTTGTATCCCTTTGGCTCCAAATATCAGCTCCAAAAAATGGCCGACTCCAAAACCCATAATGTATTTTACGGATAATATCTGATTCGCTGCAAACGATTGGGAAACTACGACATTCAATCAACTTCACTCAGATGGCAGAATTATCGTCTTTTCTGAATGGTTTGTATATTTTCCGTGAGAAACTATGGACGTCCACATACTCTTCTATTAGTTAGTTAGAAGCAGGGTTGTCTTCTTTTAGCCGAAAATAACAGCCCATAATAGCGGCTAAAAGAAGGATTGGTAAAAATTTTGCCGAAAATAAGAAAAATGTGTAGAGGTCTAGTATGGCGGGTAAAACTTAAAGAAATTGAAGGAGCCGAAGAATATTTTTAGTAGAATTGAAGTAAACTAAACGAAAAATAGTCAATTCTGGTATTTTAATCTATTAGAAATAGAGTAAATTCATAAAGTTGTTTCTAGAGAAGTGTATGGCTCAGTATCTGTAAGGTTTTCCACCTCCTGTGAGCGGGTTTTCTCCACAAACAGTTTCATCTTCCTTCTTTCATTCAACTGTTACTGACTGGAATAATCTTCCAGAATCAGTCGTTCGTTTTTCTTCGTTATTGTCATTTAAAATAGCTTTATCTCAGCATCTTTTCAGTAGAACATAGCAGTTAAAAACACAGTTAAAAACAAAGCTAGTGCTGTTACCCTTTTTTTTTTATTTACTTTATCTTATTTTATTTTGTTTCTTTTTTATTCTTTCTTTACTATCTGTTTTCGTACACTAGTTTACTTTTTATTTATTTATTTATTTTTTCTATTTATAGATTCTTTTGTTGTTCTTCGGCTCGAGTCATTGTTCTATAGGTCGGGGACCTTTGATGACTCTCTCACTTTTCGTGAATAATAAATTCATTCATTCATTCATTCATTCATTCAGGTATTTTCTGGACTTTAAGGGTGATAGTGTAGAACTATTTACTTTTATCATCACATCAATAGTTTTTCTTCAAAGTATTCTTGTCTCTTATTATTAGTTGTTGGGTTGAAGAGTTGGAGTTGCTAATTGGAGCAACACTTCTGAACTATGAGTATAACCGTTTTAGCTATTTGTTAAATGTTACTTTTGATGGCATTGCTGATGAAAATAAGGGTTTTCCACTTTAGACAAGTCACTTCCTTCACAGGGTCTGTAGAAAATGTATAGATTTCTCTACATTTGTAAGTTGATTTCGACCTAAAGTGTTGGGGATGCATTGTATTCAATATCCAGGCGTTTCGATGCCCCCTAATATATTTAGAGAATTTTATCATTCATACTAGACACGTGAATATTGCGACGTACTGCGACAAATGCATCATGTTCTCGAAGAAAAGTCCGAGTAAAACATGATGCATGGGCAGGGTGCCCAAATCCAGTTTTTCGAAATCAGGAGATTTTTTTCGAAACAGGGAGAAAAACAGGAGAGAGTATCAGGCAGTTTTTTCTTGGACAAGCAAAACAAAAAGTCCAATAACTTTTTCAATAACATAGTTTTTAACAAAACTTTTTTTTAAAGTAGTTTTTGATGAAACAGTATTATCATTTATTACAGACTGCAGTACGAATTGAGAAAGAAGATTTTGATCCGGTGGGTTTAGAAGAGAACATTCGATAAGCGCACCTCTTTTAATATACAATTATTTAGACTCTTGATCCAGAAATTCTGTTTCTGACACTGATAATCTCAGTTTTCGAAAAAACAAAGTCGATGCAGGAAAACAATTTAAATCAGGAGAAAATCTTAAAAATCAGTTCCTGAAATCAGGAGATTTGGACACTCTGTGCATCTGTCCAATGTATCTAAAGACTAAGAAATTTTCTAAAAAACAATATAAACAGTTAAACTCGACCAGATCTTCTTCAGAGAATAATATGCAGCCAAATCTTGATAAAATAGCCAAAATAGCAGATTTTCATAGTTTTTCTATTAAGTATCATATTTAAAAAAGAAATCGGTCACTTTAGTTTTCAATGAATATTTGCACAAAGTGTAAAGATGTGCACAAACAAACCATTTCTAGAGAACTCAAGAAACGGCAGTTACGCCATATATCTTTTGACTTTCAGATAAGGGAAAAATCTCATAACATCTTCCGAAACTTATTAATTTATAATAAAACCTCTCTGTTGTGAACACCATCGGGACTTTTCAAAAGCGTTCACTATAGTGAGGTGCTCACTTCAGAGGTGCTCACAAATAGAGGTTTTACTGTAGTCAGACGTCGGTTAACTATAAAGGGTATACTAGCAGTTATTGGATACAATCATAAGCTATCACACTTAATTAATGATCGGTTGTTGATGATGTTTTTTCTAGAAAGTAATGCCATCGGAAAGACCAAACATTTTGAACTTACAAATTTTTAGCTCGGAGAAAATGGTCCGAAATCTTTTTTTACTTGAAAATAACTAAAAAAAATGAGTTTTTGCTAAAATTCGTTAAAACAACAAAAAAATCATGAAGGAGATTACTTGAGAGCTCAGAATTTTGTGAGCATAGGGAGTTTTATGTGCTCTATTGAATGAACTTTGAACGAAACTCTAATATTTTATCGTTAAGTTAAAAAATGGATTTTAATTTTTGTCAAAATTTCATTAAAACGCGTATATCTCCCTGAGCATACGTTTCCGCCTCCTGAAGCGTTGAGATTCGGATAGAGCTCAAAATTCTGAGTATACACGAACATTTTGAGCATATGTTTTGGCGGCTACTTTGTGCAATCTGAGGATATTTGGAAAGATTGAATAAATCTAGCATAAAACAAGTACATGACATCACGTGGACACTCACTGTATCGGAAAGAAAAGAAAAAAATTGTCTTTTCTTTTTACATATGGTTCAGAATGGCAAAATCAAAAAAATTGATTTTTCAATTACCATAGCCTTGTTATTCAAAATAAAGCTTATATTCATGATCTAGATGAAGTCGAATTTTATACAGTTATATTCAAATTTTCATCTAGATCATGAATATAAGCTTTATTTTGAATAACAAGGCTATGGTAAGTGAAAAATC